GCATTTGCCACCAGAAACGAAATTGCCACCATGGTAGATAAGCTTTTACTAAATGAAATCATCCCTCGACACAGGTTGCCTGTTGCCATAGGGTCTGATAATAGACCAGCCTTCACCTCGTCCATAGCTCAGTCGGTCAGCAAGGCATTAAACATTCAATGGAAACTCCATCGCGCCTATCGACCTCAGAGCTCTGGACAGGTAGAACGCATGAACCGCACCCTAAAAAGTACTCTTACAAAATTAATCCTAGAGACTGGTGAGGATTGGGTAAAGCTCCTTCCTTTAGCCCTTCTTAGAGTAAGATGCACCGCTTACCGGGCTGGGTTTTTACCTTTTGAAATCATGTATGGAAGGGCTCCACCTGTCTTGCCTAAGCTAAGAGATACCCATTTAGCAGAAATCTCACAAGCTAATTTGTTACAGTACCTGCAGTCTCTCCAACAGGTACAGGACATCATCTAGCTGCTTGTCCAGGGAGCACACCCCAATCCAGTTCCTGACCAGACGGGGCCCTGCCACTCTTTCCAGCCGGGTGACCTGGTGTATGTTAAAAGGCTGCAGAAAGGAGGACTCACTCCTGCCTGGAAAGGACTTCATACTGTCATCCTCACCACGCCAACAGCTCTGAAAGTGGATGGGATTTCTGCTTGGATTCATCACTCTGGCATCAAAAAAGCCAACAAAGCCCAGCAAGAAACATGGGTCCCCAAGCCTGGGCCAGGCCCCTTAAAACTGCACCTAAGTCGAGGGAAGCCATCAGATTCTCTTTATTCACCTCTTTTGTTTGTTTCTGCCTATTCATGCCTTCTGCCCCCTCTACTCTTTTCTCACTTCTTTCACAACAGGACGTATGTTTGCAAACACCACTTGGAAGGCAGGAACCTCCAAGGAAGTCTCTTTTGCAGTCGATTTATGTGCTTTGTTCCCAGAGCCTGCCAGTACCCAGGAAGAACACCACCACCTGCCGGTCATGGGAGTGGGGAACATCGACCTTGCTGCAGGGTTCGGACACACAGGAAGCCGGACTGGATGTGGAAGCTCTGAAGGTGCAGAAAAAGGAGTCCAGAATGCTGACTTTTACCTCTGTCCCGGAAATCACCCTGACTCTAGTTGTTGAGATTCTTACCAGTTTTTCTGCCCTCACTGGTCATGTGTAACCCTAGCCACTTAGCCTGGAGGATCGACCCGGTTCTCAACCCTCTCCATAACTCGCATTTCCCATCCTAGACTGTGTATTATAGAAAATTGTAACCCTCTTACTATAACTGTCCGTAACCCTGGTTCGGCTCAATGGTATTATGGCATGTCGTGGGGATTAAGGCTTTATATCTCGGGATTTGATGTTGGAACTATGTTCACCATCCAGAAAAAAATCCTGGTCCCATGGAGCCCTCCTAAGCAAATTAGTCCTTTAACTGATTTAGGTGACCCTGTGTTCCAAAGACACCCAGACAGGGTCGATTTAACCATCCCACCGCCTCTCCAGGTTCCTAAATCTCAGCTACCATGACCACATCTCTAGCCCAGCCTAATGTCCATTCTGGACAGGGTACGTTACCTGCTTAATCTCACCCAGCCTAAACTAGCCCAAGATTGTTGGTTGTGCCTAAAAGCAAAACCCCCATATTATGTTGGTTTAGGAGTAGAAGCCAGGCTAAAATTGACTCTCTTCCTTGTCGTACACGCCCCCATGCCCTTACACTAGGATACGTGTCAGGAAAAGCCTCCTGTCTAATTAGCACCAGGTATAACTTGTCTGCTTCTCCCTTTCAGGCCACCTGTAATCAATCTCTACTTACTTCCTTAAACACCTCAGTCTCCTACCAGACACCTAACAATACCTGGTTGGCCCATACTTCAGGCCTCACTCGCTGCATCAATGGGACTGAACCTGGGCCTCTCCTGTGCGTGTTGGTTCATGTGCTCCCCTAGGTCTGTGTGTACAGCGGGCCAGAAGGGCAACTTCTCATCGCTCCCCCTGAATTACATTCCAGGTTTCGCCGAGCCGCCCCACTCCTTGTACCCCTTCTGGCCAGCCTTAGCATAGCTGGATCAGCAGCCATTGGCATGGCTGCCCTGGTTCAGAGAGAAGCTGGACTAATGTCCCTGTCTCAACAAGTAGATGCTGATTTAAGCAATCTCCAATCAGCCATAAATATGCCGCATTCCCAGGTAGAGTCTCTAGCGGAAGTAGTCCTTCAAAACCGCCGAGGCCTGGATCTGCTATTTCTCTCCCAAAAAGGGTTATGTGCAGCTCTAGGAGAGAGTTGTCGTTTCTATGCCAATCAGTCTGGAGTCATAAAGGATCCTCTCCAAAGATTTTGAAAAAATCTAGATAGACGCCAGCAAGAACAGGAAAATAACACCCCTGGTACCAAAACATGTTTAACTGGAATCCATGGCTGAATCCTCTAATTACTGGATTGGCAGGATCCCTTCTCCTCCTCTTGTTAGGTTTAGTTTTCGAGTCTTGTATATTAAATTGGTTTCTTAACTTTATAAAGCAGCGCATAGCTTCTGTGAAACGTATGTATCTTAGGACCCAATATAAACCCCTCGTTATAACCGAGGAATCAATGATTTGATTCCCCAAAACATGAGTGGGGAATGTGATACTCTACCTTGTTTTAACCTGATTGTCTCTCTTAGCCGAGAGAGCTGGACAGACCCCATTTTTGTTTCTTCACTTGCATCCCCCTTATCCCCCCATCCCTTAAGGACATAACTAGTGCAAGCTGACTCCAAGCTCATCCAGAATGTGCTTACTGATGAGATATTGAGACAAGCTGAACCAGCAGTTCCTGGGGACGCGCTCGGGGGATGGTACCCAAAGCCTCTGCATTATCTCTTTGTGATAGTTTGAGCCCCTGCACCTGGAACTGTTTACTTTTCTGTAACTGTAAGCAGTTAATCTTTTTAAATTTGTTTGCTTGTTCTGCTTCTGTAAAAATTGCTTCAGCTATACTCCCCCTCCCCTATTTAGACCACGGCATAAAAAGAAATCTAGCCCCTTCTTCGGGACTGAGAGAATTTTGAGCTCTAGCCATGTTTCGGTCGCTGGCAATAAAAGGACTCCTGAATTAGTCTCAGAGTGGGGCGTTTCTCTATAAGTCACTTGGTTACAACACTCAAAGTGCTGGAATTACAGGTGTGAGCCACCATGCGCATCCTAAATGGTGATTTTAAATTAATTACTATAGTCACTTCAAAGTGTTGTCATATAAACCACTTATATTAATGTTAAATCAAATGAAGCAAGGACCCTTGACATCTTTGTTAAATTTTAAAAATCTAGCAGTGCCATAGGCTTTTAATTTTTCCATCACAAGGAAAAAGAGGAAACTGGTAATAATCTCCCTCTGACAGAATTATCTCACAAGTTTAGAAACTGTATTTAAAGAATTCAGAAACCCCATCTCTACTAAAAATACAAAATTAGCCAGGCGTGGTGGCGCATACCTGTAATCCCAGCTACTCAGGAGTCTGAGGCAGGAGAATCGCTTGAACCCAGGAGGCAGAGGTTGCGGTGAGCCGAAATTGCACCAGTGCACTCCAGCCTGGGCAACAAGAGTGAAACTCCGTCTCAAGAAAAAAAAAGAAAGAATAAGAAATGTCAACTGTAGCATTTAACACAGCATTGAAGTTATCTGTTGACGCATAGCAAATTACCCTAAACTCAGAAGCTTAAAACAAGAAGAATTTAGTATCTCACATACTTTCTGAGGGTCAGGAATACAGGAGCTGCTATAGCTGAGTGCTTGTGACTGAGTCTCTCATGCAGTTGCAGTCAAATAATTGGCAGGGGCTGCAGTCATCTCAAGGTTTGACTGGGGCTGGGAGATGTGCTTCCAAGGGTGACCCACTTGGTTACAGGAAGGCCCCAGCTCCTCCCAGGCTATTGGGTGGAGGGCTTAGTTCCTTGCTACATGGGCCTCTCCATAGGCTGTCTCGGTATCCTCATGACATGGCAACTAACTTCTCTCAAAGTGGGGGCAGCAGCCTTTAAGACAGAAGTCAATGTGCCTTTTATTATTATATTTAATCTCAGCAGTGACATCTATCACTGGTACTATATTCTATTAGTCTCACAGTCCAACCCTGGTACAATGTAGGAGGGAACTCCATAAGAGTGTGAATAGTAGGAGGTAGGAATCATTGGGAAACATTTTGGAGGTCAGTTATTGTATCAGTTGCTAGGATAACCAGTTGGAATTAGGATTTTTTTAAAAAGCCATTTTCATAAGACAAGGCAATCTTTTCTAGAGATGTTCCAATACCTGTGGTATGCAGAGCACTGCGTTAGGCGGTATCCAAGGCAGGCCTGTAGTGAATGCTGTTGGTACCCAGCCACTACCCCTGGACAATCATATGCAGACCGCTGGCTTCTTACTGCAGGCACCTATAGACTCAGCCTAAGACCTTCCCATGAGGCAGGCTGGAAGTGCTGGAGCTTTAACACCTCTGGAGTGGCTCTAAAACAATGGGGAAGAGAGATGGTGTAGACATATGTCAGCTTCATCGGCCTGGGGGTTGTGACAATTTGGAAGTTGTTTCTACACAATCCCCCAGAGTTCCCAAGCTGACAGAGCCCTCATTGATCATCGAGCTAATCGGCTCACCGACGCACTCTATAGTCGTTCCCATCGCTCCCGTCTCACTTCTCCATCCCCTACCTACCAAATTAACTTCTTGCACTCATATTCTTCCCTCAGGTCGGCTTATCGGACAAGCCTCCTTAGGAAAAAATCTTGCTTTCAACATTTCCTTTCCATTATGCGCTAAGAACTCAGGTCTCTTCCCACTGCGGCAGCCCCGCCCTTTCCTTGCGGCTCCGCCCTTTCCGTGAAGTCACGCCCCCTCCTTAGGCTGTCTCTGTCTCCCTAAAAGAAGAGCGAGTCTCTTCGCTGCTCTGTAACTCCCAGAGCTGGCTCAGAAAAAGTTTCACATTGCCATAGGGGAACTCCTCCTAGGAGAGGCTGCACCCATTTCACGTAAGAAGCGGTAAAAATGTTCGCGGCCATCTTATCAGGCTGCTGGAAACAAAGAAAGCTCAGCATTGATGTCTGGGCGCCGCCATGTCAGTCACAGGAGGTTTTGGCATCTGGGATGCTGAGTTAACAGCAGAGACGACATCTCTGTTTAGGGATCCAGGGACACTTGCTTCTCCTTGTCCTAAAATAGCCTTATCTTTTGGTCGGGCAAAGAAAGGGCGTAATCATCCGTGGTACGGCACACCTTTAAACATGGCCGCCCCCAGTAGGAGTCAAGCGGGCGTCGCCATCATACCTCCCATTACAGCTTTGAGAAACCCAGAATCCTGTTCTCTGGAACGTTGCCGGGTGGCCGCTGACAGCCTCAAAGTCGCAATTGAGTCTGCGCACCGGCCATTCAGGATGGGACGACCTTATACCGCGATGAGGCGGTGTGGCAGGACGATCAATTTCAGATTCTGGGCGCGGATGCAGCATAAATGGGAAGGGTCGGTTTGAGAAACGGTCAAACCTGGGGACTGGGGAAGGATAGTGAGCTGCCGACTACGGTGGCCGACTGGGTCAGTTATGGGTGCCCGTGAGGGTCAACGACAAAGGGACTGAAGGGTTAAGAGATTGGACCTCTGAGCCTCGCGGGGCCTCAGTGGTGGCAGGCAGAGGTTGGCGGGAGTCAATGGCACAGTCTCTGAAGAAGATGTATTGGGAGTGTGTGGGAATCAATAAATGCGAGTTCTGTGAAATGTCTTGATTTTCAGGGTGCATGGGGTCAGTTATAGTGGTCTTCATGGGTCTGGGGTCAATTGGGATTTTTCAGACACTGGTTTAGAGAACTTTAAGGTTAATGATCTGAGACCGAGAGGATGAGTGATCGGAGGTTCTAGGTTCTGTGGGCAGTAATAGTTTGGGTACCGGAATTGGTGATTGTGGAAACTTTGGGGTTCAGTTATGAGGGGGGTCAGTGGTGATGAATATTTGGAGAAATGTTTTGGGCCATCGGTGATTGAGACTTACTTCATATCATCGGTGGAGGATCGGAGAGTAATAACGATTGGACTTTTGTAGATCAGGGAATGGAGAATAGAGTCAAGTGTGCTTATCTTAAAGGTACACCTCAATGAGGCTCAGTTATTCAGACTGTCACTTGTGGGTGGGGGTGGGACTGTGAGAATCAACAATTAATCCTCAGTCGTTGGGATATCATTGGCGAACAGTGTGGGTTCACGATTGGGGGCGGTGTAAATTCACTGGCAATCAGATCGGATCAGTGTGCTTTGTAGTTACTGACCAGTAGTCTCTCCTGGTCAGATTTAAACATACGGGAATATCAGTGACTATGAAAACCTCTGAGGGTTGGAGATTGGAGGCCGGTGACTGGGGACACTATGTGTGTCTGATTAGGAGGCTTATAAGGGTTGGTGTTGAGGGTCCTGAAATATGGAGATTGGGGATGGGAAAATCACAGATTTGACGCTACAAGCCTCAATCTGTGGGAACACATTTCACTCAAATGACACTCCCTAGCTGAATAGCAGCCAGTTCCTCTCCACCAAGGCCCATCTCAAAACTCTTTTCTGAACCCACACCCTTTTTATTGTTCTCCACAATAATGAAAATAATTTGAAAGGATCACGTGCTAAATTTATCTGAAGCACCATGTTATTAAAGATGTGGCTTCTATTGTTCTTGTTAGTGATCTAATGCATATTTTTTCCTGTTTCCTTTAAGGTTCTTTCTGGCAAAAGTAATGACATACGCATCTGTGACAGCATCCCAAGAGTGAGCCTGGTTTCTGGAAATCCATTCCGACTCTGTGACAGCGGCGATGGATGTGACCTTGCCCGTGGTTAGAAAACAAATTTACTGAGTAAGTATCTAAAATGATAATGTAGGCTGGGTGCAGTGGCTCATGCCTGTAATCCCAGCACTGTGGGAGGCCAAGGTGGGTGGATCATTTGAAGTCAGGAGTTACCAGCCTGGTCAACATGGTGAAACCCTGCCTCTACTAAAAACACAAAAATTAGCTGGGCGTGGTGGCGGGCGCCTGAGGTCCCAGCTACTCTGGAGGCTGAGGCAGGAGAATCATTTGAACCCTGGAGGTGGAGATTGCAGTGAACCGAGATTGTACCACTGCACTCCAGCCTGGATGACAGAATGAGACTCTGTCTCAAAATAAATAAATAAATACAAATAAACAAAATAAAATAAAATGATAATGTAAAAGATTTGGCTGAAAGAGCAGAGTGTTTAGAAAATACTTTCATGTAGGCTCAGCTTAAAAATAAATTATCAAAGGAAGAGAAACTAGATTTGGAATTTATTGTATTCTGAGAGTCTTTTTGCCTTGTCCTATATATTTTACGCATAGCCACATTTAACCTCCACTAATCAGTTCCTTATAAAGTCCTGGCAGAAAAAATTCGAGACAGATAAAGCCACAACAACCACAAAACAAAATTTAAAGCTACTTTTAGAAACTGTTCATCACTGGCCGGGCGCGGTGGCTCAAGCCTGTAATCCCAGCACTTTGGGAGGCCGAGACGGGCGGATCACGAGGTCAGGAGATCGAGACCATCCTGGCTAACACGGTGAAACCCCGTCTCTACTAAAAATACAAGAAAATTAGCCGGGCGAGGTGGTGGGCGCCTGTAGTCCCAGCTACTCGGGAGGCTGAGGCAGGAGAATGGCGTGAACCCGGGGGGGCGGAGCTTGCAGTGAGCCGAGATCGCGCCACTGCACTCCAGCCTGGGGCACAGAGCAAGACTCCGTCTCAAAAAAAAAAAAAAAAAAAAAAAGAAACTGTTCATCACTGAAATTGAAATTGAATTAATAGTTATTAAAGTGGCTGAGATGGGATTGCAAATAAAATGGAAATAAAATTTAAAATAATAGATGTAGGGGATATAAGTGCAGTTTTGTTACATGGATATATTTCATAGTGAGGAAGCCTGGGCTTTTAGTGTAACTATCACTTGAATAATGTACATTGAACCTATCTGGTAATTTCTCATTCCCTACCCGCTTCCTAGCCTCCCTCCATTCAGAGTCACTCATGTCTATTATTCTGCTTTCTATGTCCATATGTACACATTATTATTATTATTTTTTTTTTTTTGAGACGGAGTCTCGCTCTGTCGCCCAGGCTAGAGTGCAGTGGCCGGATCTCAGCTCACTGCAAGCTCCGCCTCCCGGGTTCACGCCATTCTCCTGCCTCAGCCTCCCGAGTAGCTGGGACTACAGGCGCCCGCCACCACGCCCGGCTAGTTTTTTGTATTTTTTAGTAGAGACGGGGTTTCACCGTGTTAGCCAGGATGGTCTCGATCTCCTGACCTCGTGATCCGCCCGTCTCGGCCTCCCAAAGTGCTGGGATTACAGGCTTGAGCCACCGCGCCCGGCCCATATGTACACATTATTATCTTATAAGTGAGAACATGCAGTATTTGACTTTCAGTTTCTGAGTCAGCAAATAAGATTTTGACCATTACTCTAATGAAAAGGTACAATGCCAAAACAATATTTTAACTTGAAAAAATTATTACATTTGATCTTTATGTAACCTTCAGAAAAAGCACAATGCCTGTAGCATCTTAAGAAATAAAGGCAGCTGGATGCTAAGGCAGGTAACATCTTTCAGAACCCACATAGGTCATGTTTTAGTTTTAAAAGCAGATAGTCCCTATTTTTCATTTGCACAGAATCAAAGACAGATAGCTGCTTAGCATGGGTGAAGTAATAAGCCAGGGAAAGGAGTTTGGGTATTTTTTTCTCCACGTTGATTCCCTTCACTACCCATACTGTGCTCAGTGCCAGGTTTCAGAGCAAATAATTTTTAAAAAAATGTTTTACATAAACCTTTTATTGTGATATAAGATATATGCAAAAATGTATATAAATATGCAGCTCAGTGAATTGTCACAAGGGAATACCCCTGGGTATTGCACTCAGATCAGAAAACAACATTCTAGCACCATGCCCTCATGATGCCCCTCCCAGTCACTACTCTGCCAGAGGGAACCATTCTCCTAGCTTCTAACCTTACAGATTAGTTTTGTTTGTTTTTGATCCCTAATTTAATGGGATATTCATTGAGGGGAGGAGCACCATGGGGAGAGGCAAGATGTGGCTGTGTTTGAACAAAATTTTTTTTTTTTTTTTTTTTTTTTTTGGAGACGGAGTTTCACTCTTGTTGCCCAGGCTGGAGCGCAATGGGGTGATCTCGGCTCACCACAACCTCCACCTCCCGGGTTCAAGTGGTTCTCCTGCCTCAGCCTCTCAAGTAGCTGGAATTACAGGCACGCACCACCATGCCCGGCTAATTTGTATTTTTAGTAGAGGTGTATTTTTAATTTGTATTTTTTAGTAGAGCCACTGCGCCCAGCCTGTGTTTGAACAAAATATCTAAGTTTGAATGGAGATAATTTCATTTATATAACAGACATTTCTCCAGGTCATTAAATATTCCCTTTTTGGCCAGGCACAGTGGCTTACGTCCGTAATCTCAGTGCTTTGGAAGGCTGAGGTAGGAGGATTGTTTGAAGTCAGAAGCTTGAGACCAGCCTGCGCAACATAGCAAAACTCCATCATTATACAAAATTTAAAAATTAGCTGGGTAGTCTGGGCATGTTGGCTCACGCCTGTAATCCCAGCACTTTGGGAGGCCAAGGCGAGTGGATCATCTGAGGTCAGGAGTTCAAGACCAGCCTGACCAACATGGTGAAACTCCGTCTCTGCTAAAAATACAAAAAAAAAAAAAAAAAAAATAGCTGGGCTTGGTGGTGGGCACCTGTAATCCCAGCTACTTGGGAGGCTGAGGCAGGAGAATTAGTTAAACCCAGGAGGCAGAGTTTATAGTGAACCGAGATTGCACCACTGCACTCCAGCCTGGGCAAGAAGAGTGAAACTCCATCTCAAAACAAAAAAAACAAAATTAGCTGGGTGTGGTGGCTCACACCTGTGATCCTAGCTACTGGAGAGGCTGAAGTGAAAGGATTCCTTGAGCTCAGGAGTTCAAGGTTGCAGTGAGCTATGATCGTGCCGCTGCACCCTAGCCTGGGTGACAGAGTGAGACCCTGCTTCAAAAGAAAAAGAATTCTTTAAAACAATTGAGGCATAATACGTATGTAGTCAAGTGGGCTTATCTTTAAGGTACAACTCAATGAATTTTTATATTACAGAATCCTGTAACCACAGCCTAGATCAAGATATTCATCGCTTCTAACACCTTGAAGGTGTCCTTACTGGTCAATACCTACTGCCACCCCAGGGGTAACTAGGGTTTAATATAGTGGATTACTTTTGCCTGCTTTTGAATTTGAATTGAGTATCATATATCCCCTATGAGTCCACCTGACTGACTCATATTCATTGAATTTGATAGGATTCCATCTGAATCATATACATGTGAAGCCAAGGCATTCATACCATGAGGAAATTTTGTTTGAAATTCTGAAACCACACGAACACCAGGACAAAATTCTTTTTTTTTTTTTTTTTTTTTGAGACGGAGTCTCGCGCTGTGTCACCCAGACTGGAGTGCAGTGGCGCGATCTCGGCTCACTGCAAGCTCCGCCTCCCAGGTTCACGCCATTCTCCTGCCTCAGCCTCCACATCCCAAGTACAAATGATTCTCCTGCCTCAGCCTCCTGAGTAGCTGGGACTACAGGCGCCCGCCACCACGCCCGGCTAGTTTTTTGTATTTTTAGTAGAGACGGGGTTTCACCATGTTAGCCAGGATGGTCTCGATCTCCTGACCTCGTGATCCACCCGCCTCGGCCTCCCAAAGTGCTGGGATTACAGGCTTGAGCCACCGCGCCCGGCCAACCAGGACAAAATTCTAAACTGAAGGCTGGGTGTGGTGGCTCATACCTGTAATCCCAGCACTTTGGGAGGCTGAAGCGGGTGGATCAGGAGCTCGAGACCAGCCTGGCCAACACAGTGAAACCCTATCTCTACTAAAAATACAAAAATTAGCCTGATATGGTGACGAGAGCCTGTAGTCCCAGCTACTCAGGAGGCTGAGGCAGGAGAATCATTTGTACTTGGGATGTGGAGGTTGCAGTGAGCTGAGATTGCACCACTGCACTCCAGCCTGAGCAACAGAGCAAGACTCTGTCTCAAAAAAATAACAAAGAAATTCTAACCTGAAGTTCTGGCTTGGCCATCTGAGATTGCCTCTTTTCTATTATTCTCCCTGGAAGCCAAAAACATACACAGTGAACTAGACCCTGAGGTTTTAAGGTGGTTTTCTAGGAGGGTCCCATTAATGAAGCTAACAGTTAAGGACTCTTCTCGATAGGTAGTTTGGACAGGGATTTTTAGTCCCTTGGTCAAAATCTCTTAGTCTCTAGGGACTGATCATTGACTACAGAGACCTGAATGAAGTAGCTTGAAAAAAAACCTTTCTAGAGGCTGGCTACTTGGGGGTCAAGACATAGTGGTGACTCAACAAATGCTGGGTGTTCTAGGAAGAGTCTGCCTTAGGGATTCTGGAAGCTGCTGGTAGATTCACTCCCAGACAGAGAAGCCTCTGTCCCTCACACACAACCTGACAATATGGGAAAGCAGCTAACCTCTTCCTTAATTCACAGATCTTCCCATCTTGCTCACCTTTCCACAGACATAAGAGATTATTGTTTTGTTTTGGTTTTGATTTTAAATAAATTCAGATTTAGAAAAGTTACAAGAATAGGCTGGGCGCGGAGGCTCGTGCCTGTAATCCCAGCACTTTGGGAGGCTGAGGTGGGCAGATCACGAAGTCAAGAGATTGAGACTCTCTTGGCCAACATGGTGAAACCCCATCTCTACTAAAAATACAAAAATTAGCCAGGCGTGGAGGCGCGTGCATGTAGTCACAGCTACTTGGGAGGC